AATTTATTATTCACATAACAAATTAACAGATTAATTATCTATTTCCAATAAATATATTAATCACATAATATATTAACAAATCATTTTTCTATCTCTTAACATCATTTCTAGCTATTTCTGGTTATGTGGGCAACCCCAAATGGAATTTGCTTCTATTTGCAAGTTTATACCAATTTAGTTATGAGCTTAGATACCTTAATCCAACAACTAATTCCTTGGAAGATATTATTATTGTTGCAATAAATGTTAGTAAACAAAAATAATTATACTAAATAATTTAGAAGCTGTAGAAGATGTAAGCAAAAAGATGACATAAATGTTAGTAAATAATAATAGTTCTGCTAAATAATTTAGAAGCTGAAGAAGATGTGAGCAAAACGATTAACACAAAGTGATTAAGGCTTATGTTTGACACGATTCCTTTAAATATATTCACTCTTAGGTACAACACCCTAAGAAGATGTACAACTAGAGATGACAACTTGCCTGAAACATCATATATCGAAGAAAAGTATAACGTGGTTGCATGTACTCAAGATTTTGGAGTTGCATTCATGTCTGCATGTCCACGCCCCCTACAAATGGTATATTATTTTTTTAATATCCTAATGGATGAGAGTTAAGTATTATATCATTTAATGGATACAATGATAGGTCAAGTGATATCTGCTATCAAAGTTATCTATAAACATTGTAGAACCAAAGGGTGATGATGCAAGTTGCACCAGGATAAGATACATGAAATGCAACATTAGGTTGAGGTTTAGTATCAAAATGAAATGGGAAGTGATTTGTACACAACAGTTTTTTGTCATACACAACAATTTATGCATTATAGAGTTGTACAATACAACACTTTAAAGCACAAATTGTTGTGTACAGATAAAACGTGTTGTGTACGAATCAGTTCCCAAATGAAATACGGTGTGAATGTATAAAATGGTAAGTTCCTAATGATGATAAAGACGATGACATTAATGAATTAGTTTAATCATGTGACCTAGACCTAATGATTGGTATCGTTAACCATGGGTGTGAAATTAATTATTTGATTTATTTAATCGCGTTTTGGCTCTTTCCTAATTATTAATATGTATTTTGATACAGTTATCCTAAGATGCAAAGTTTACAAACTATTTTGAAAATAATTTAAAATGGAATTCTGAACACCCCCTTCTGTCAATAAGATGCATGAAATGCATACATTAGGGTTTAGTATCAACCTAGATACGACATGAAAGTGTAAAATAGTAAGTCCTAATGTTGTGAAGGATGTTGAAGTGTATGGAAAATGTTAATCACTTGATCTAGAGTAGATGATTGCCATGGCTGATCATGGTTACAAATTTTTATTTGATAAATTAGGTCGAGTTTCCGCTCTTTCCTAAATAATATTTATTTTAATGCAATTATTCTTAGATGCAAATGCTGCAACCTATTTCGGAAAATTTTCAAAACCCAACCTTCCAAACATGAAGCCTTCTTATAAATTTAGATTTTACTCTATTTTTATCGTTACATCGGTACTAAACATATTGTGTTATTACAGGATACAATATTAGGGCATATAACGGACATATATTTTCTTCACCAATTGTCTTCATTGTCCATGCACATACACCACCATTATATAATTAAATATATCGACCATTAAGCTCCCATCACAAGTTTTATTTGTTTGCTTAATTGTAACTATTTCTTTGTTAAGAAATATGATTAACTAACAAGACATAGTTTAATTACTTTAAAGTTTAATTAGTTGAATAAGTTTTTTTGAACAACTGAAATTTTAATGGCAACTACCAAGAAAACTAGCAAATATAACTATTACATAGAACTACCACTTAAAGGGTTTTAAAGCCAATCACATCTTGTTGTTCTTATTCATAAACCAAAAGAACGAACAATTAACAATACTATCAAACAACATTTCACGTGATGGGGGTTTATCTCCAAAAACGATATCGTTCTGAAATGACCACAACACCGTACCCATAATTGCCTTTAAAACCAACCATTTAGACGACCGGAGAGGCATGTCATCAATCCAACCAAAAACGTCAACCAACTTATATCTAGCCGGAGTCACTAAATCAACCCACTTGGACACCTTATGCGAAGTTGTAGGTGCCACCTCACAAGACCAATGGACATGATCCAACGCTTATAGTTTGTTCGAACAAAGGGGGCAAAGTCACAAATTCACTTCCACATTTTTCCAACTTAAATTCCCTCTAATAAAAAGACGATCCAACAAGACACACCTGACAAGAATGTTAATTTTTCATTTTAAGTGCCAAGCATGATAACAATCAATCGTATAAATATATTTCCATAACTACATCAAATAACAAAAAAGATTACAAATAATAATCTTTAGAACGGAAGTTTAAAATGTTAGAAAAGTGAAACTTAAATTTAAACTTTTAAATCAAAACTCAAAAGTGAATTTTGAGACGACTTTAAGCCGTAAGGAAATGAAATAGTTGAGAAATTTTAGTTAAACAACAAAACTTGAAAACAAATTGGGTAGGCATAAAATAAGTCGACAAATACAAGTGCAACCGCTTGAAAAAAAAAAGAGAGGAAAAGTAGCAAGAAGAAGATAAGAATGAGTAACGTTTTTTGTGTGACATATAAGGACGGAGTTTGAAGCATCTTCACCGATCACATTTATTGTAACCCAATAATTTTTTTTAAACCTTGTAAAATCATTGATAAATTGAACGTGGTTTTTTATAAATCCTAAAACAGTCACAAGTTTCATGTAATATTGTTGTTGATCACCGGTGCAAATTTAGTTTGTATTTCAAGAGAATTGATAATTTGATATGAGATATTTGAAAATATGATAGAGTTGTTCCAATAGCTTCATTAGTATCTCTAATCTCTAAGTTTTTATAATTATAATAACTACTTTCAATTAAAGTAGGATAAATACCTGAATATGTAAAGTTTTGAAATAATAAATAAGATCAGCACACTATTTTCTTATAATGCACGACTGAAATAAATTACTTCAAAATGTAATAAAAATAGCAGGGTACTTTATATTGTTTAGAGGGTTAATCATATAAAAAAATCTTAAATTTTGTTTCTTTTTTTAATAAAACACAGTTTTTATATTTCCGAAAAAACCACACATTTTTCTAATGATTTCATTTGGCCCTTTTACCATGTTTTTTTCCCCTAAGGCCTCATTCTCTCTCTCTCTTTTTCATTTCTTTTCTTTTTTTTCTTTTGGAAAAAAACACTTGTATTTGAATATTTTTTTTATTTGGAGTTACTTTTCGTTTCGCTTATAATTCATTTGTTCGTGTTGTTGTTGCTTATGATATTCTTCACGTAGGAATTCGGTGGTGCGATAATATCTATGCTTGTTAATTTGGAGACTGAATATTCTATGTTTGCTAACTTGAATTGAATTGTATAATTTTTTTTTTTAAAAATAATTTAATGTTTCCATAAAATTCTAATGTTAAAAAGAGAACATGATAAGCATCAACATCAACAAATTATTAGTCAACAAAAAGTTGATTTAAACAAAAAATATCAAACATGAGTGTTTTTTTTAATAAAGGTATTTTTGAAAAACAAATGTCCATTACTAGTCAAACTACAGGTAAACTTGCTAAAAGGAAAAAAACGAAAGATTGAAAAATGTGAGTTTTTTTTAAAAAAATAAAAAATAGTTTTAAACAAAAAATCTCAAAATGTACAAGGTCTTTTATATAATAAAATTTTATTTAAATAAGAGTTAATGTCATAAAATGACAACTAATACTATTTATTTTGTTTTTTTGAGTCACTTATCTTCTAACCATAATCAATAAGTCAACATTTTTTTTATGATTTCTCATTATATTTTATTTGAGTGTATTGCAACCGAGTAATTCTCACAGTAGCCTTCTCAACAACTAACATACATAATCTGAACCAATTCCGCATAATGAAATGTTACTGCGAACAACATACATTGGATTCAATTAGCGAACAACATATATAGGATTCAATAGTATATTTTACCCCATTAAAATTTACTTTACTTGTGTAATGAGAACAAAAAAAAAATATTGATCTTGTTAAATAATACAATTGGAATACGAGTGACCAAAAATAAATTAAGTGTTATTAGTTGTTGTTTAACGACATCAACTTTATAAAATAATATTTCAATAGTTTAAAGTTTAAACTAAAATTCTAATCTATAAGGAGAAATTTAGTAAGAATTATATAATTTCACGCGTTTCATCATATAAATATAATCTTTAAGGGATATATAGAGTGTAACCTTAATAAATTTGTATTCAATAAATGTTAAATCTTTCGAAGTCATTAGTTCACCCGCACATGTGAGTAAAATGTGACAGATAGAGAAGAAAAAAAACATGAGTGGTTAAGTAAAAGACAAAATTATTTCCTAAATTTAACATTATATAAAAATAGCAAAATTGATACCAGTCTCAATGTTACTTTTAAAAGTTCAGTCTTCTAGGCTTTATGCACAAAAACTTTCACTTGGGTCTTAGGTGTTCAAGGTCGACATCAAAGTCAGGTACAAATCTTCAGGCTCCCATTTTAATTTCTTCATTATCGATTTATCTTCCAAATTAACATTTATAATTCGTAAACAAACACAAGTTCTTTTGAAGCATCCTTTTCCAAAAATCACATAGATGTGTGTGTATAAATTATAATCCATGTGTAAAAGGATTGGAGTGAAATTGCTATGCTGAAATAATTATTTTAAAAATGTGTTTATTTCGTGTGTAAGAGATTGGTTTGATAATTCAATTCCTTTTAGGCCAAATGATTATTAATGTATTCAGCTTTGTAACACCTTCTGGGTGCTTCCTAAGACAATTTTGTAACAAAAGAGTGATGAAACTATGAAAATTTTAAATAATTTTTTTTGGTGAATATACAAATATAGATAAATTTGAGTTTTGAGATATCAGATATGGATTAAGTTGATGACTTGATGTAGGTGTTCTAGCGGAATGGGAAACTCAATGAGTCAGCGAGTGAACTCACCATCATCAGGTTTGGGTTTCTCCTTCTCCAACTCAGTCACCGGATACCTCACCGCCTTAACCAAAAAAAGGTCCATTTTCATCCCAAAACAGTCAACGCCGGTGGGCCTCGCCGTCATATTCAATGAAACAATTCCATTGAATACCAATTCCGATTACATCGTCTTTCCTCCGCCTCTCATTGCCATTCATCTTCTCTATTCCGCTCCAGGCGCGCTTTGGAACTGGGAACATCCCAAGCCTCGAGATTTTCCGGCTAAACACGCCTTCTCTGCTCGTGACGGAATCCTGATTCCGACAACCCCTGATGACGTCATTCACTCGGAGGAGTACACTTGTGTTGTATCCACCAAATATGGTTACCGCATTATGACTCATCTTTATCGTGACACCATCATTGACTGCCACCCGATACCTGAATCCATGGTTGCGGCAGCCCTTGGCCGTGGTAACCACCGTGGGGAAACTTCTGACGACCACTTCTTCGCCGAGATCCTCAAGAAGTGTTACATATGCAGGGAAACTATCAACAAGCAAATGAGTGATGTCAACATGCAAAAGTAAGGATTACATTCGGTGGTTTTATCATTTATTTTATACAATAATTTGTATTCACATATAAACGTCAACTTCTAAAGTGCGGACATCTGATATATTTGTAAGAACTTGTTGCAGGGATGACGCTAAGGAATGTGAGGACGAAGAGACGACAGAAAGAAACATGGTTAAGGAAAACAAAAGTTAGAAGGCTAGAATTACAGATGTTTTGCGTTCGAAGTTGTAGTGTCTATGGTGTTTCTATGGTTTTGTTGATAAGTTTTGGCAAGCTGGTTGATGTTAACTAGGAGACTATGAGACTAGTTTTAGTTTTAGTAATCTTGTTTTTAAATTTCGATCGATAATCAAAGTACTTTATGATAAATTTGTGTTTCTATTACGATTATGGTCGTCAAACAAATGAGATGAACGTGTATTTTATACTAAGAATAGGGCGGGCCGGCGGTGGGACGATATCGGTACTTGCCCCACTTGAAAATTATTGTTGAGTATCTTCTTAAATTATCTACGCAAAATAAAAACATAGAGGTATTTAGTTTATGGCGTCAATTACAATAATGGTCCATGAAATTTGAGAGTTCTAACTCTTGCCCTTATGTCGTTCATAAGACACCACTAAATACCATCACATGTGTCTTACATGAGAGTATAATCATTTTTTCACTATAGTTTAGGTGCTTCTTCTTTGAACATGTATCATCGTCGTCTCCATGTATAATCTAGGAACCGGTTTAGGAAAAATGGTGATTTGTTACTGTTGAGGCATGCTGTATAGTTAGCACATCATAGACAACTAGAAATGTAGGAAGATGATTTTAGTCTTGTCCAAAGGGGTTCTAAATACTAATTCATTCAATGGGTTGAGCCATAAGTCGAACCTTGATCGATGGTCATCATTCCAAAAGTTATGAAAAGTCAAAGAATACACTTGAAGCTCAAGTGAAACAAATCAGTCAACAAGCTTGGAAAAAAAATAAAGTTGTTGATTCACCAAATTTAAAAAATGCGAATATTTTGGTCCAAAACATTTTGAATTATCTAAAATTTTATTTTATTACGAGTTTGGTCGGTCTCATAATTGAACGCGAGTGAAATAATCTTTTTGCTCTTTTTATTTGTTTTTCCTTTTTCTTTTTTTTATTTACTTTAGTATTTATCTAATTTAAAAAACAAAAAAAAATGTTCTACCCTAATAACCCACAAACTCTTTAATAGACTTTATCCCTTCTCTCTCTCTCTCTCTATGTTTACCACAAAATTGATCGGCCAGCGGCCACTGGTGTACTATCTTTGATCCACGGCCAAACCATACTATTGTCGGAAACTCTCCGCTGACGCCTAACTCCGACTAGAATTTTCTCCACTGTCCTTGTTTGTGGATGACACTCTATCTCTCTCTCTCTCTCTCTCTCCCTCTCTATCTCTCTCTCCCCATCAATGTAGGTTCAAGGTTTGCAAACACCAGCTACATAATGCATATCTTGAAACGAAACATTTCCGACAGTGACTTCCGAAAGTCGATTGGGACGAGATAGATGAAATCAAGATAATCTAAAACATCTTTGGAGGTGGGTTACAACTTTGTCTTCTCTGTCAATGGAGAAAACTCTAGTCGTCTTCACCATCTTCGTCTTTTAGGGTTTCGTGGTGTTCTTCGACTTACAACACAAATTGTCATCTGTTTTCATGTGAAACCACCAACAACATTTAGAACCATGTCATCGTATATCAAACCAAATATGTACAAACTCATGTATTTGCATAACTTCAGTGGCGGTGATTGCATGAGGGGTGTCCCAAATCTCCGGCTATGTTCCAAACCTCTGACAAAGGCGAGGGTGACTTCTCCAATGGTGGCTGCCAATGAAGTGATAGAGACCAGATAAGTGAGTTTCTAGAAGACAATGTTGTCGTCGGAGTCGTTTGCAGATGACCTACGATGCTAAAACTCTAGCTCTTTAAATCTCAATTCGTCTTCTCTTGTAATGGGAATCGGTTCATTGGAGCCGTTGTTTCCAAAAAGCGTTTTCCTGATCGGAGGTTGGTGATACATTCACAAGCTCCAGCGATTCACCGCCTTCGTTGGAGTCGGAAGTCTTGTATAAGTGTATGTAATGTAGAGAGAAATAGAGGGGAGATGGGTGGGGGGTGGTAATACAATTTTCTTAATTTATTTTATTTATATACTTCTTATAATATAGAAAATAGAAAATGAAATGTAAAGGGCAAAGTCCTCGTTAAAAAAAAATTCAAAATAAAATAGAACAAACTCAGAACAAAATCAAAGTTTTAGACGAGTGATGCATGTCTAAAACTTTTTAAACCAAATTGATAATTTTTTAGATAACATATGAACTATTTTTGTAATTTTATCTTGTTGATATGTAACTGCCTTTTTAATAATTTGTTTAGCTTTATAAAGCTTGGAACCTTCACGGAATTTGTTTTTAAAGCTTAAAATTGTACAATTACATAAATGTTGTAGTTGTTTGAAGTATCAAATATTCACAGACGTCTTTGGGTTTAGTGCAAGAGGGAAAACAACGTATTTTTTTCTCGATTAAATTGCTTAAAAACTTTACCGATTTTCTCATTTATCTGATCTATATATCTTATCTATAATGTTTAGGTGTTGTAATTGTAATCATACAGGTTGATTTTGGCTACACGTTTCCTTGGATGTTGAGGTCCATTTTCACCATGTATATTGTATATATACAGACAAAAAGTTTGATGAACCTACACTTATTATATAAAACTTGCTTCCCACTCATTGACATGTCCCAAATAGCTAATGCTTTATGTTGGCAAGGAATACCATTTTGATTTGATTTCATATAGTTACGGAAAATTTCCATAGGTAATTACCTACAGAAGGAGATGTCCTAATTTAGTAGCGTGATAACTACGGAATAGCGATAAAAGTAAATACATAGATAATTACCTAGAGAATAGCTACACATTAGCGACGGTGGGGAGTTATAATGGTTTTGATGTGATTTTATATCTTTATATTTAGGTTCGGGTAACTTTAAATGTGTGTTTGGCAAAGCGGTAAATGGTGGGGAGTTGTTTTTTAGAGGTGTTAGTGATAAGCATATGAATACCGAAACGCATCCTGAGGTATGTTTAAGTTTTATATTTTTATATTAATATAATAATATAAATATGGAGTTGGATTCATTTTCATGTTATAACATCTTACTTTCATTTTGTCTTACTATATGGTGACATTTGATTCAAAACCCAAATTAAAGAACACTTCTGGTTCTTTATAGATTCTACTTACCTGATAATTTGCTAAGTAATCCATCAAATAATTCATAGTTTTATGCTCGTAAGCACTTAATTAAATATTTATAGTTGACACTTTTAGTGTGTATTATTAGACACATTTAATGTATTGTTAAACAATGTTCATTATTAATGTATTTGTATTTGATACTTTTTTAACATATTAGACGATGTTTATTATTAATGTGTTTGTATTTAGGATAGGTGTTTTTTTTTTAATTATTTTTGTAATTAGTCTCTTTTAAAACCTCTGTATTCTTTTTTATTATCTAATAAGTTTGTCATTAACAAATTTGGAAGATTTATTTCATATATATAGGATAGTGAGAAATGGTTTGTGTTTGAATGGATTCTTGGTTGTTTATATATGTAACTGGTTTTCTTGATTATGGTTTAACAAGGACTTCAAGTATATTTTGTCTAGAAAACGAATTCGTTCATGTGTTGTATGTTGTTTAGAAAATGAATTTGTTCATGTGTTGTTTGATTGTTTATATAAGGGTAAAATAGTTATTTTTTACAGTCAGCACAACCAGTCATATGCATAATCAAACAACATAGTTTTGGTCAGAGGCAAATACAGTCAGAGCTTCAGACCCAGTCAAATCCTTACTCAGTCGGATCTTACTCAATCAACAACTATCAAACAACCCCTCAGTAGATAATTGTATCAGGAGCAATGACCCAGAAAAATATCAAAATTTTTTAACATAGTAATGTACAACCGAGCAAGTGAATGTGATACTTGACCCCATACACAATCGGGAAGATTAAGCAGGTTGCCCAACGGGTCGGAAAAAAATTTCATATGCACGTATTTTATCATCCTATTTCATTTTTTACTTATTAAGCATCGTATTTACATTTTATTAATAAATAAGATGTTATGTTTTGTTATAGTCATTATCTCTATATCAAATAGAAAAAACACCTGTCGATCTAGATTAAGTGTTGTTCCCATTAAATATATTAAGGAAAAAACTACTAAGATATAGATAACATCAAGTAAAACATATCCTCCTCTGTCTCACAATGGCCTTCTAGAATGGCCTTCTAGTTTTATTAAAGGCAATTTATTTGGTAATTAAGGACAAATTCTAAGATGTTAGTAAATACAACTTTGTCGACAAAAGCAAAATAAATTATGAAAAATCTTATAATATACGTTATAAAATCTAATAATAATAAAAGGAAACCAAGACATATTATCAAATGTTAGTATATATAAATAGTGCTCAGAAATGGTATTTTAATAATATATACAAATGGGGGAGGGTCCTATTAAATACATGAGAATTCACTCGATTAGAGGACTTTAAAAGTCTTCACGTTCTCAATTTTTTTTATATATAACTTATGATATGATACTAGGTTTGAGAATTGTGTTATACATAAGTTTTTCAAAAAAAAATATATTTTATTAAGCATTATATGTTTTTTATTAATAAATTTACATAAAAATAAAAATATATAAAGAATAAATTAACTATTTCAAAATATAAAAGCATAAAATAAAAGCGTACCTATTTACATAATGATGATAACAATAAACGGAATCTAAAATGTGATTTTCGAAAATTGTGTATGAAATTTACAATTTTCTGGAAGTAAACAGAATTTGAAATGTAATTTCCTAAAAGTGTGTATGAAATTTAGGAATGTTTATTTGATTTTAATATATTCATCCACAAAATATGGTACATTTAAGGAAATATTCAATCTCCTATATTTCTTTAAAATAAAGTAAATCATTTCATATATTTTTTTTAATTTGATAAAAAACCAAAAAAACCACAATTTGCCAAATGGATTTAAATTTAATTGAAAATTTTCTAAAAATACTATGTGGGATGCTGATGTTTGGCAAAAAAAAAACTTTGATTTATTAGATAG